TTTCGGCGGCCGATATATCAGTGCATCCCTACCCAAGTGTGCAGGATCCTAGCAGGGAAGAATAATTCTGTGATACAGCTACTCCCGAGAGTGATCCCAAGACTGCAGAAGAAAAGACTGGAGTGGTGGCTGATGCCACTGGGATAAAGGAGGTCATTAGACTCACAACCAAGATGGTGTCCCTGAGGCACAAAGGCAGAGCAGTCTGAAGATGGGATACCTGCTGCTGCACTTTCAAAATCTTATCCTCAGGAAGATAAATCTTCTATTTCAGGGAATTGATGTACCCCAGGTAATGAATCGACTGTGCAGGAAGGAGGACTTTTCCAGGTTTAAAATCAGCCAACCCAGACTCTTCAACCACTCTTGGCTTAAAATATCCTTGCCCGGCTGGTTCAGGGTGGGAACTAGGATGAGAGGATTGTCCAGCAAAAAAAACAATAGTGGGGGGCGTGGCCAGCGCTTGGGACGGATGGCTGCTTGAGACCGAGCTCCGTGCCCAAGCAGACGGCGGACCGTAACAACCACCGCATCGGGACCCGGCATCATCTCCTCACTTACCCCGACCATCTCAGGGGCAGGTCCGGACATGTCCCGGAAGAAAAAATCCGCCGCCCGGCCGCAGAAAATGACGGCTTTCTTCAATCCATCGGGCATAAATGCAAAATGGCGCCGGCCAGCAGCACTCCACGCCGATCACCTCCCACTTGGCTGATAGAGGGGACCGGGACTCGGATTATGACCACCGGCCTGAAGGTAAGAGCTACCCAGGCCCGAGAAGCCTCCTAGAGAGCCGCAGAGCCCACCATCCTCCCAGGCTTCACACAAGTCCTCATCGATCACCTCGGGCAGCCCAGAAAAAAATCGAGGCCGCGGCTTTCAGGCCTAGACCACCAGGGGGAGATAGGAGAGCCCTGCTCTCCTGTCCAGATACTTATTTCCTCACATCTTGTGTGCCAACGGACGGCGCATGAAGGCCGGAGTGATGATAGCGATCCAGAACACTGTTTCCTTCTTGCTTCTTGACTCTGTGATCGATGAGGCGGGACGTTACATTGTTTTGGTTTGCTCCATCAACTCGGTGCACTACACCATTGTCAACGTATACGCACCCAACACGCACCCAACACGCACCAACCATGGTTTCTGACCAAGGTCCTCAAGAAAACGTCCTCCATACAGAAAGGCTCTCTCCTAGTCGCTGGAGACTTTAACCTTGTACCTGATCGCCAGCTAGATTCTACCAAGCCCTCCAGCCGCAACCTCCCCTCGCTTCAGCCCTGGCTCCATAAAGAGAACCTGTTCGACGTATGGAGATGCCAACATGCCTCGGAAAAGGACTTCACATTCCACTCATCAGCTCATAACTCATATTCCAGGATTGACCTATTCGCAGTGGACAGAGGTCTTCTTCCCAGAGTACTGCGGTCTACTATCCACGACATTACCTGGTCTGACCACGCTGCGATCACTATACGCCTTTCGGAGACCCAACCCTACACCTCAACATATGTATGGCGCAACAATGTATCTTTGCTCGGCATTCTGAAGACAACGAAGGATCTACAGGAATTTTTTGAGCTCAACGCACCAACCTCCCTTGACCCGCTCAACCTATGGAATGCGCATAAGGCCTACATGCGTGGCCTCCTTCTGAGGATCGGAGCCAGGACGCGGAGACAAGGTAAGCAGAGAATCAACCACCTTCTAACCCAAATTCGGTCCCTAGATACTCAAAACAAATCCTGCCCCGACCCACAACACCTCTCCACCTTGAACAAGCTGAGATTCGAATTGAGACTGCTTTTGACAGACCAATTCGAGGCGAGATCTTTTAAGTTCAAAGCTCATTTTTATTCTTGCGAAGGTGCCCTCTTTCACTCCTGATATTTAATTTATCCATAGAGCCCTTCGCTGAATCGATTAGAATGAACCCGCAGATAACTGGAATCTCAGTAGCACATCACTCCCACAAGATCAACCTGTTCACGCATGATGTCCTATTAATGCTATCGAATCCGCTGTCTTCCCTGCGGGAAGTCTCCCGTGTTATTCACTTGTATGCCTCTGTGTCATATTATAAGGTAAATGTTGCCAAATCTCAAATCTTGAATCTAGGGATGGATGTGGAGACCATAAAAGCCAAAACGCACTATCACTGGCCTGATCCGGGCATTGTATATTTGGGACTCACCATACCCAGCGCTACGTCTGAGCTGAATTTTCCCCCATTTTTGGAGAGGCTTAGGAAGGAGCTGGTAGCTCTGGGAACGTTGAAAATGCTCAATAAAAAGTTATTGAAATTAAAAAAACAATAGTGATCTGCCTGAGACATAAGGGTGACAAGGCCGACCAACACTTTTGAGAAAATCCTTGGCGCTGTGTAAAGCCCAAAAGGGCTTTACATGCCATTTTCCAAGCCCTAGCTATCTAAACTGAAAGGGCTGAAGAAAACACTGAGAACATTCCCGAATTGTTTAATGTCAAGATAAGCACCCTTCAAATCTATGGTTGCTAGAAAACCACTGTCATGGAAAATGGATCACACCAAATCCATCAGGAACTTCTTATCGCTCAAGCATCTGTCGAGAAATCAGACGGAACTTCCCAGCAGGCTTGCAGACCCCCCCAAAAAAAAAAAAGAAATGATCAAAACTCCCCCCTGCTCCACATGGGGAACAGGAATAACAACCTGATCCAAAAAAAAAAAAAATCTCCCAATGAGATAGAGCACCTGATTTTTCTAGATCTCTGGTAAGATCTGTAACCAAGAACCTTGAGGGTGGCTGTGAACTGAACTCTAGCCTGTAGCCATTTCTTATCAAACAAGAGATCTCCTGAGAAGAGCATACTGCATAGACGAAGCTTGGAGAAAGAATCGCCTGACCAAGTCTTAAGCCATAAAGCTCTATGCGATGAATTGACTAAGGCAGCTGACCTACCAGATATCCTTACAGATTCAGCTGAGGCATCTACAACCTTAATTATACAGAGAGGTCAAGGAGCTCTTCCCTAGAAGTGCCTGCCTCCAAATGAGTTTTAAGCTGCGAGAGCCAAAAAATCCAAGTTGTGAGCCATGCAAATAGTGGTGATGGCTGGCTAATTATTGAATTAAAAATCGAATCCCAAGCTCGTTTAGGAAGAACATCACTCTTATCCAAAGGAGTCCGTCAAGACCCCCATGTCTTCAAGCGCCAAATCCAAATTTTTTGAACTTTGGAAAAAGGGGCATCTAATTATGGAGATTTATTCCACAACTTCTCAGAATCCTCCTCTAAGGGAAACCTACGAGGTTAGAGGAGAAAAAAATGCTTCCTTTCAGCCCATTCTCTAGAAACAGATTCTGAAAGAACCTTATGAACCAAAAATACATGACCCCTCTTTTCTTTAAGACTCGGATACATCAGATTATACAGAGAGAAATGTCCAGGGTAGTATAGATGGCTTTTAAAAAGATTATCCACAGCTTCTAGAGACAATTTAAACTTATTGCTGCTGGAAGGTTGCTCCTGTGACAAATCTTCCTCCACAGAACAGTCAAGAAGTCAGCCTTGCTCTCTGGGATCCACATCAGATTTAGCAACAGGAATCTTCTCACTTGCCACTGAAAGTAGCAGCAGGTGCAGAAGGGATGGGTTGCACATGTGAAAGAGGATTAATGCCCGCAAACAGAGACCAGAAAGACTAGAAGGTTTAAGACAACTAGTCCCCGATAGAAGAAATGAGATTGCTACATGCGGCAGAAGAGTCATCCTTAACCACCTGCGGACCGGCCACTGTTAAAACAGCCGGTCCACCGGCGCATTGCTCAGGGAGGACGTACAAGTACCGCCCGCCTCCCTACTAGCCCATGAGTGGCAATCCGAAAGTGGAGTGCTCCAAAACAAGGTTAAGTGCACATGACTCAATCTGGCCACTGACCCACACCAGGTGCCAGGACAGGGGGAGCTGGTACTCTACCTGCCTGTGAGAGGATAGGACTAAAGGCTAGTAGTGACACTAAACCCAGGAGTTACATTTTACAAAATGTATTCAAGTAACCAAACGATTACAAAAATTTAGCTTATTTGTGTATCATCCTGCTGTAGATACTCAAATACTCTGAATTCGTGCAGACACTGTCCTTCCTTCTGCAGACTGGCTACTTTTGTTCCCCATGGTCTGTGTGTGTGCTTGTGTAGTAAAGTAGCCACTGCTCCAAGCTCACTCACATGAGACTACAATCTCAATACATATTAGGAAACTAAACGTGAGATTGTAGTCTATCACGGGAGTGAGCATGGAATGGTGGCTACTTTACAACACAGAAAGGGACCATGGGAAACAAAAAGTAGCTACCTTCCAGAAGGAAGGACAGTGCCAGCACAAACCCAGAGATGATTTGAGGTTCTAATTGATGCACAAATAAGATACATTTTTGTTAATATTGAAGGTACCTGAATGCATTTTAGGATATAACTCCTAGGTTTAGTGTCCCTAAAAAATCCTTCAGAACCCATATTAAAGTATTGCCGTTCCATGCGACGCATACCCTCTGGATGGGGTCAACACAAACTGAAGTGGAGGTTGGAGGGGCGACCTTTAAACCATTTTCTGAAAACTTACGCCAAAAAAAACCTAATCTTTAAAACATTCATCATGTATCTCAGTGGTCCCCAACCCCCCGGGCCGCGGACCGGTCCGTGGATCAAATGGTACCGGGCCGCCCAAGGAACATTAAATTATTGCGTGTTTTTTTAATACTTACTGTGCAGCACCGAGCGTCGCGTCACTGCTGCTCCGGTGGGCGGCGCTCGCGTGTGAGGAAAATCCTTGTGCCCGAGTCCACGGGGCCGGTTTAAGGGAGACGGATACGCTGTCAGCGAGTAGACCAATCAGATAGCAGGGGCGTGTCAGTCACGAGTTCCAGCGACGCCGCCTCCCTGCAGTCCGGTTGGAGTTCTTGTGTGCGCGCTCTCACACCGCCCGGCAATGGGGGTTTGACACGGCAGCTGGCTGTTGTCGGAAACGCTGTGCAGTGGGGGCTGAGCTCAGCTGTGGGGCACAGAGAGGTGCAGGTCACCCACCTGGAGTGGAACAATGAGGGTGAGTGCGACCTAAACACGTGACCTGGATGTGGGGGGAGGGGCTTATAAAGTGATCTCTCTCTGTCCTTAGTTGGTGTGTTTTTGTTGACAATCAATTAATTGCCTCCTGTCACATGACTGTCACTCTTCCTATGGCTGTCACATGACTGTCACTCTTCCTATGGCTGTCACATGACTGTCATGACCGTTTTTTTTTTACTTACTGCTCTGGTGGGCGGCGCTCCAGGCAGTCGCCGGCCACCTAAATTAGGACCCCACCTAGAGAGCTGCCCACCGGAGAAGCAGTGACGCAAAACTCCTCTCCAAGCTCAGTGCCGACGACATCCTCACGCGTGAGGAAAATCATGAGGCACCGCGATCGAGGCAACAGTGAGTAAGACGGGACAGGGCTTAGTGTTTTGTGTGAACAAGAAGAATCTACTGCTGCAGTGTATTCTATATCTACTGTATATGTGCTACATATAGAATGCACTGCAGTAGATTTACAATTCTGACCTGCTAACATGAATGGGTGGTTAAATGACCCATAGTACAGCTACATGTTATGTACTATTATGCACTATTATGTACTATGGATCATTTAAAGTCAACTGTTCCTTTAAAAAAAAAAGTATCAGTAATTGGTATCGGCAAGTACATGAAGGGAAGTTCTTGTACTTGCTCCTGAAAAAGTGGTATCGGGACATCCCTAATTATTTCCATTTTATTTACTGTGGTGTATTTCTCTCGGGTTTGTCCGACTTTCCAGGACGAGAGGTTAACCGGGAGCTGAGAGACGTCACCTAAAGCCGCACCAATACCGCGCATGCGCAAAATATCGTGATATCGGGGCGGTTTTAGTTGACGTCTGGAGCTGAGCTGCTGCAAGCGGCAGTGGAGTTGTAGCTTTGGTAAAGAGAAGGTGTGTATCGCTCTTCTCTCTGTTCACCGATACTTTCTCATGTTTAACAGTGCTTGGTGTACGTGTATATTGCGTTTGCTCAAATTTAACCCACAAATTAGCAAAAATGAGTATTACCCCCAGATGGAACCGTCTCGTTGCAAAGAAACAAGCTCAGGGTTCTCATTGATTTAGCGTTCTAGTGAGTTAAAATGTTAAATCACTTTATATTCATTTTTTGGTGTAACTGTATTTTATTCTGAAGGCATGTTTAAATACAATTAAGTTAAAATTATTAAATCAAAACAATCTAAAATATAAACAATCAACGTCCCCCCCTCAGCGGGCCGCGGTAAAATTATCAAACGTTGACCGGTCCACGGAGATAAAAAGGTTGGGGAGCACTGATGTATCTCATTTTGTGGCTGTTTCTACTGCCCTGGCATTTTAGGCCGTTAGGCAGTCAGGACACCAGGGTTTATGATACAGTTGAAATATATTTACCATAGTGTGTAGACTGTATAACTTTCACACACCCTAAACATACACTTATTTGGGTTTTTACCAAAGAAATGTAGCAGAATACATTTTGGCCTAAATGTTTGAATATTATTTATTTGCAATGTTTCATAACATAATGTAAGGGAAACTTTTTCCCAATTTTCAATAGTTTTTTCTTCATATAATAAAAAGGAAAAAAAACACCAGTAGGTGATTAAATAGCACCAAAAGAAAGCTATCAGTCCCAAAAAAACTACTACAAAAATTAATTTTGGTACAGCGTGGCATGACTGAATAATGTCAGTACCTCAGTGCTGAACAAGAAGCGCTGAACAATGCGCTGAGCAATGGTCAGGACAGGAAGGGTATTTAACACCCCTGACTTCAAGTGGTTCAAACAGAGTTAGGTACCTGGTAACGTCTTTTCCATGGATCTTCCAGGACAGCATAGGAGAGGATATCCGGCTGCCTACAAACAGGAAACAAATCATCTACAAATAAAATAAAAGGGGCCGTCCCTCCCAACCACCTCAGTCTTAGAATGGCACCAAAGGAAGAAGGATAACCCATATATTATTAAACAAACAAATAAAAGGGCAGAAACCGTGATTACCGGAGCCTGTGACCTGTGAACCGGAGCCGGAAGTCATTCTTGCAGGGAGCATGCGCGCGCACCAGCGCGGCGTGCAGGGAGTGAGTGCAGGAGCGTGCGGGAGCTGAGAGCGGCGGGACCGGAGATCCAGGACCGGAGGGCAAGGAATCGTGAGGGAGGAGCGGTGGCCGATCCAGAGAGTGGCGGACCGGAAGTATGGACCGGAGGCTGGAGCGTGCGGACGGACCGGTGGCAAGAGCAGCAGGAACTGACGAACCAGAAAGCCAAGTGACGGACGGGTGTTCCAGCAGCAAGAGAGGAGAAGAGTGGACAAGGACGAGGCGGATCATATCGAATGAGGGAGGGATGGGTGGCTGATGATCCAGGCGACTGAGCTGAGAGTGAACTGAGAGAAGAGTGAAGTCTGAAGAGTGAAGCAGCGTGTGGGCAAGACTGAGACGTGACTGGAATCAGGAACAGGTCGTATGAAATGGATTGGGGGCTGTAGGGTGTCTGAAATTGTCTTTGAGATTGTGCGGGGGTGAGATTGTATACATTTGCAAATACTAAACTGTTAGCATTTTTATAAACTGTTAGTACTTTATACCAAGACTGTTAGTGTTTAAAAGTATTACAGGTTTATTACATTGCTGAGGGGGCTGCGGCGATAAGTATAGGGTTAAAAGGTAAGTGTGTGAATGTTTATAGATATATATATACACACACACACATTTTGTTTTAGGGAATATTAGAGTATACTGTGTATTTATTGTGTTTAAAGTGTATATATAGCAGGGCATTAATAACACTAAACGTATAGCTGAGTATATAAGTTAGGCATTAAATAATAAAAATATTTTAAAACAAAATATAGAATACTGGGCATAGCGCTAAAATATAGTATCCAAAGGGGCATAGTAAAAACAAAAGACAAAGGGATTAGGTATACCTTAATTTAGGCCCAGGGCTTTAATATAAATTTCATTTAATTTTACCCCAGGACAGTAGCATAAGAAACCCGAGGGCCATAGCATAATAAAAGCAAATGAAATCCCACAGCCAAAGTGAATATAAATTAAAACAAATTAAAATAACTAGGGATGCTCCGATACCGATACAAGCATCGGTATCGGCGGCGACACCGAGTATTTGAATGAGTACTCTTACTCGTGCAAATACTCAGATACAAAAAACGAGTACCTGTGCCGCACCCGCCATCTTCAGGGACTGGAAACCACCGCACACAGGACCTCCATAGAGTCTTCAATGAAACAAGATGGCCGCGAACTCCTCCTCCAAGTCCTCAGTCATCTTCTCCATTCTGACCTCTTCTCCCGCTGATTGGCCGATTGGATGATTGACAGGCTTCACCACCAGTCAGGAGATATGTGGGAAAGAAACTGATTTTTTAAGAAGGTGCTACTAAGTAACTTCCTTGTTTTTCCCTACTGGAGATTAATAAGTGTATTTCAGATACCAGCGGACACCAAAGGATAATACGTTATGAAACGTATAATGCTTTGGTGTCAGCTGATTAGCATATATAGGAATGAGAGCACACTATACAAACAGATCTGCATACCTGAAGATTTATAATTGTATGTCATGCTTTTTTTTTTTTAAACCAGTTAGTGATATGATATTTATGTCCAAAACTGATATTTTATCTAATAAAAACATTTTGTAATTGGAATACCTGTCCCGATCCTCTGTTAGCTGGTTTATCTTTTTGGTATATAGGGTTCATTTTGGTTACGGATCTGGTTGACAAGTAATGAGATAAAGGGTCATTTAAATGGTTCGGATCTCCAGGCAGAAACAAAATCGTTTTCTATTAGTACTGCAGCACCGCATGGGGGCTGGGTACAAAAATGCTGTTTAACTGCATATAATATTTTTTTAAAATAAATTAAAAGAAATAACTATGTAGATATTGCTAACTAAGGCTTGTATCCCCCTGGTGGGGAAAATAGATGAGCACATGTCCAGACTCCAGAAAACTGTATAGTGTGGCACAGCTATATCCACTTCTGCATACCTGGCTTTATATTATTAAAAAATGTAATAATAAACAGATGAGCACATGCCAAGGCTCCAGAACAGTGTATTATTGTATAGCGTGGCACAGCTATATCCAATTCTGCATACCTGGCTTTATATTATAAAGTTCTTATAATATAAAGCCAGGTATGCAGATTTGGATATAGCTGTGCCACACTACACAGTGTTCTGGCCTGAAGTCTGGCCATGTGCTCATCTATTTTCCCCACTATGGGGATACAAGCCTTAGTTAGCAATGGCATGATAAATATTTATTTCATGTTCTTCATAATATTAAGAAACTGACCTAAAATCATGATTTTGTATTGCTTTAGAAAAAATGTGACCTGTCCCTTTAAGGAAAAGTATAGGTAATTGGTATCGGCGAGTACTTGAAAAAAAGTATCGGTATGCGTACTCGGCCTTAAAAAAGTGGTATCGGAGCATCCCAAAAATAACTACAGGTCCTTAGTAAGATAACCCTAGGACTGCAGTGTAATCTAACTTAACTTATCCACAGGGCAATAGTGAACTATAGTAAACGTTGATTCAAACAGAGGGACGTAGCGAAATTAAATTAAACGCGGGGTTAATTTAACTAAATTAAGGGCTTCAGTAAAATAACCACAGTGCGGTAGTATTATAATAAAAACAAAACACTAAACCAAAAACATGAAAGAATAAATAAAAAGGGGAAAATGTCTTCCTTGAGTGGTTGTGCAACGAGGTGCACGTCGTGCGCAATGTATGCGTTCCTTGAACAGGCGTTTAAGGGGGAATACACTTGCGCTCGATATGAGCGGGTTGTTTGGAAGCCCAAATTCTGGATCTAAGCAGCAAACTGGCAACACTGAGGTGCATAACCAACATGGAAAAGAGTCTGGACCTAAAGAAACCAGGCTGTGGTGGAGGGAAGGGAGGCTTAGATGAGGCGGGGGGTGCAGAGGAGCAGGATCCCGAGGTGGGAAGCTGGGTCACTGTTAAAAGATGGGGTAGAGGGAAGAGTGCTAGAGAGGTCAGCCCTGAACTGGTTAACCACAACAAATATGCCAGGTTGCGTGATGTTGGGGATATTAGTTCAGGGGTGACACTGCTGGAGCTATCGGGGGGGTGATTGCTCCAGCGAGGAGGGGAGTCGGATGGAGGATCAGGAGAGGCAGATCCTGGTTGTGGGAGATTCCATCATCAGGCGAACCGACAGGACCGTGAGCGTCGAACAGTGTGCTGCTTACCGGGGGTGCGTGATCAGCACATTGCGGAACGAATTGACAGATTACTAGATGGGGTTGGGCACAACCCAATTGTCATGGTGCACGTCAGCACCAATGACAAAATAGGAGGTAAATGGAGTGTCCTAAAAAAGGAGTTCAGAGACTTAGGTGCTAGGCTGAAGGAAAGTACCTCCACGGTGGTATTCTCTGAGATACTGCCAGTGCCACGAGCCACTCCAGAGAGACAGCGCGAGTTGAGGAAACTTAACAAGTGGCTCCGGAACTGGTGTCGGAACGAGGGCTTTGGTTCCCTGGAGAACTGGGCTGACTTCTCAGTCGGTTACCACCTCTTCAGCCGAGACGGGCTGCACCTTAATGGGGGAGGGGCAGCATTTCTGGGGGGGGGGGGAAATGGTTAAAAGACTGGAGGAGGTTTTAAACTAGATAATGGGGGGGGGAAATAAAAAAAAACAAAAAAATATTAAAAACAACCACTCGTGACAGATAACACAGAAGGAAAAAAACAGGATTAGATAGTGGGCTCACTCCAGTCAAAAGAGTCATAGTAGTAAATCAAGCCAATAAAGAGAGCATACTAAATGTAGGTCAATAAAGTAAATCTAAATTGCCCAAGGTGATCCAAGTAGGAATGGACCAACCCTAACAGGTACAACTAAAATTAGTAGTGGGGAGCAAACGTTTAACCAGTAATGAAATGTATGTTCACCAATGCTAGAAGTCTAGCAAATAAAATAGCAGACGTAGGCGGGTGCACCTGAGTATGAAAACGACGAACGCGCTACAAATGTTGGGTATTGCCGCGCACGCCGGAGTGAGTGCAATAATTCTAGGGCCAGTATTTTGGGGTATCTCTAAATTGATGACCTGTGGGGGCTTTTAAAGCGTCTATGAATTTTTGGGGGTACTGCAGTTTTTGCAGTTTCACGGACGCACGCAATTTGTAACCTGGGCATGTTGGGTATCGTTTTACTCGTTGTAACCTCATCTTTTATATTTCATTAAAAAAATTGGTATTTTGTTGTGTTTTGGGGCTTTTAATAATATTTTTCACTAAATGTTGGGGTATAATAAGCAGTTGCGCTAATATTGTGCAACATAAAAATTTGCAACTACCACCATTTTATTCTATAGGGTCTTGGCATTCAGAAAATATATAATGTTTGGGGGTTTTAAGTCATTTTCAGGCCTAAAATGTGGAATAGAACATGGGTGCAAAAAATGAAAAAAAGACCTCGGTCATGAAGGGGTTAATGTACATGATAAAACACAAAATTTAACAAGAAATACACCTGAGTGGTTGACTGAAACTGGGATACAACATAGGCTTAAACTACTAAATGCAAATAAAGCATTAGGATCTGATAATCTACATCCCAAGGTACTCAAGGAACTCAACTCATTTTTAAGGAATCCGTAATGGCTGGTAGAGTGACAAGCGACTGGCAAAGGGCTAATGTGGTACCTATATTCAAAAAAGGGTCAAAATGCCAACCGGGGAACTATAGACCAGTTAGTCTGACATGCATAGTATGTAAACTGTTAGTGGAATTCGTCCGGGATCAGGGCATAATAACTGATATGCAGCACGGATTTAGGAAGAATCGTTCTTGCCAGACCAACCTGCTGACCTTTTACGAAGAGGTAAGTAGATATCTGGATGGGGGGGGGGGAGAGGCCGGTGGACGTAGTATATCTGGACTTTTCCAAAGCATTTGATACGGTGCCACATAAACGCTTGTTGTACAAGCTAAGGGCTATGGGCATAGATGAATTAGTGTGCACGTGGATAGAAAACTGGCTACAAGAACGTGCACAAAGAGTATCAGTTAATGGCACCTTTTCAGACTGGGCTGAGGTCATGAGTGGCGTACCCCAGGGTTCTGTGCTAGGTCCCATGCTTTTTAACCTATTTATTAATGATATCGGGGAGGGAGTGAGTAGCCATGTCTCAGTGTTAGCTGATGATACGAAAATAGGCAGGGTAGTAGACACAGATTTAGACACTATAACATTACAAGAGGACCTGGATAAAATCGGGGAGTGGGCAACTGTATGGCAGAAGAAGTTCAATGTCGATAAATGTAAGGTAATGCGCCTTGGAGTTAAAAATAGGCAAATGGACTATACACTTATGGGTATGCAACTAGGGAAGTCGGAAACGGAGAAGGATTTGGGGGTCATTATAGACCGCAGATTGAAGAACAGCTCGCAGTGCCAGGCTGCTGTTAACAAAGCAAGTAGAGTCCTGTCTTGCATTAAGAAGGGAATGTATTGCAGGGACAAGTCTATAATTTTGCCACTTTACAGATCACTGGTTCGGCCACATCTGGAGTATGCGGTCCAGTTTTGGTCACAGATCTCAGAAAAGATGTCCTTGAGCTGGAAAAAGTCCAGAGGAGGGCAACCAAACTCATTAAGGGGGTTCGAGGACCTGAACTATGAAACAAGGTTGTTAAAATTAAATATGTTCTCGTTGGTGGTTAGGAGATTAAGGGGGGGACATGATTTTCCTGTATAAACTATTCAAGGGTGACAGCAACATTATTAAACTGTTTACGGTTAGCTCCGTAACAAAGACCAGAGGGCACAACCAAAAATTGGTGGGAAAAAAAAGTCAACACAGGGCGCAAGGGGTTCTTCACAGTTAGAGCGGGTTAAGGTCTAAGAGGTTTCATCTAAGAGTGTGGAATCATTCAAGAAACTCCTGGACGAGTTCCTCAGAGACCATAACATACAGGGGTACAGGTACGTCTAAGAGCAAAATCACTCATGGACTAATACACACGCACACACCTGCTCAAACATAAATGCACACACGCAATAGGTTGGACTTGATGGACTTATGTCTTTATTCAACCTCAAATACTATGTAACTATGTAACCCCTGCTGTCCCAGAAGATTCATGAAAAATAAAATTTTCAGGTCATTAACCGTTTTCACAATTAATCTTCCAGGGTAGCACAGGAGAGGATTAGGCTAGCAATGCATTTTAGTGGGGACAACTGTCAAGAGCACCTTCCTACAGAAAGCTTGGGTCTGGCAGGGGAGCAGGTCGACTCTGTAGAGTTTCACAAATCGGAAACTAGTCAAGAAAGCTGCCTTACAGGTCTGGCGAGGTCCCAGCTTTTTCAGGCCAAGAGGAGACTAAAGCTCTAATGGAATGTGCCATTAACACCCTCTGGAGGATTCAAGTGAAGAGATTGATGGGAAAAAGCTGCAGTTTTTCTGATCCACCTGGCTATGTTATTTTAGGATGCTATACAGCTTTTCCTAGGACTTGACAAAAATTATTCTTGGACTTCCTCGAAGGCAAGGTGGTTTCCAGGTAATGCAAGAGGTAAAAAGCTTGCTTCTGATCAATCGATGGGATAGTGACATCGTGGTATCAGTGGACGTGGGAAGCAAGTTTAGTCAAAAATGCTGGCTCTGGTCTCAAAGTAAAACAGTCCAGGAAGATAATACATTAGGGTTCTGCCATGAAAACAGTCTGGGTTTTGCCAACTCTGTGGCTGACATGAGGGGAAAAAAATAAGTCACCCTCCAGAAGGACAGTGTCAGCACAAATACAGAAATGATTTGAGGATAAACATCTTGAGTGATGCACAAATAAGTTACATTTGTGTTAACAGTTAAAAAGGTACCTGAAAACATTTTTAAGATTTAACTGGGTTTAGCGTCACTTTAAAAAGGAGAACTATGGGGGTCAGTGTTTTTCCCCATAGTTCTCCTTAGGGAAGGCAAGTAAAAATCCCTCCAGGACCCGAGTATAGCGGTTCCATACGAAAAGTAGGTTGGAGGGGCGACCTTTCATCCTTTTTACCGATGCGTTTCCTAACCGGGAGGCAGAGTTTCTATATCATATGCTGTCCTGGAAAACATGTGGGGAAAAAATAACCAACCAGGCCCTCTTAGGGCAAAAGAGTGCAATGAAAGTGACCTCCGCTACATACCTTTGGTATGAGACAAAATAGGGCTGGGGTGAAGGCACAAGTCAGATCCCGGCCCCATTAATGAGCAAAGGCATTTGCATGCAGTATCTCTGTCCTCAAAGCAAAAACAGTGATAAGCCACATTATAACTGCATAAGTGCGACACACAAGGACAACAGACTCTTGCATGTACACAGAGGACCTCTGACCCCAATGTAATATTGATGCGCGTGTATATATTTATACATCTATCACACACACACACATTATATATATACACACACACACCTCTTCCCTAACAAGTGAATGTCAGAATGCCAGCTTACAACTACTCCGGATACCTAAGCTCCCCAGGACCTGCACTAAAGAGTGCCATCAGGTGTTTTTAACCCTTCCCGGCCGTTGTAAAAAAAAACGGCCGGCCGGGAGCTCCCTGGATGTAACAGGCCGTGTATCTACGGCCTGTTAGCCACACCGTGCGGCGAGCGGGAAAGACACGTTTCAAAACAGGCAGCGATGCCCGTTAACATACAAGCGATCCGCCGGCTATAGAGCTGGCGGATCACTTGTATTAGCTGCCGGTCCGTGTCCCCCTCAGGTCCCGGTCGGTACACGATCTCCCTCCGGTCCCCTCTCCGGGCTCAGAATGCGGAATGCGCATTCTCGTGTCACTCTCCAGCTTCAGACGCTGGAGAGAAGCTGATGAAGCAGATCTCTGCTCCATCAGCTTCTTCAGGGAGGTCCTAGGTGACATTAGGGGTCTTGGAGACCCCTGATGTCTCCATAAAAGAGGACCAGTCACTTAGTGACAGAAAGCGTACCTTGAGCCTATTAATCAATTGTCAGGTCTGATCACTTTTAAATGCCCTAATTTGCATCACTGCATTCAGTGCTTTCCAAAAATAAAATAAACTGGCAACAAAAAAGGAACTAAAGCGCTAAACAAATGCATTACAAAACGCATAAGCAAAAGGTGTTCCAAAACCCTAGTAGTTTCAGGCATAGGGAATGCATCTGGCAGTGTCCAAATGTTGGGAAACTTAGTTCAGGGCCTTGTTACTTTGTTGAGCCATGTAATTACTTTAAAGAGAAGTATAACCTGCATATAATCCCTGATGCAACAGGAAAAAAATACAAATTTAATGTACGGAAATTAAAGTGACAATAAACTCAGGGGTTAAACTTTAAAAATGCATTCAAGAACCCTATTAACAAAAATGTGTATATCACTCAGCTGTAGAACCTCAAATCATCTCTGAATTGGTGCCAACACTGTCCTTCCTTCTGGAGGGTGGCTACTTTTGTTCCCCATGGTCTCTGTCTATGTGCTGTAAAGTAGCCACCAATCCAAGCTCACTCCATGGGGAACCAAACTAGCCACCTCCAGAAGGAAGGACAGTGTCATCATCAATTCAGAGAGGATTTGAGGATCTACAGCTGAGCGATACAAACAAGCTATATTTTTGTTAATAGTTAGGGAACTTGAATCCATTAAGATTTAACTCCTGAGTTTTGTCACTTTAACCACTTGCTGTCAGGAGCAATTTCCTACTATTGGCACACACGATATAATCTGCATTTTTGCCTAGAAAACAGCTTCAAACCCCCCCCAAACAATGATATATTTTCTGAAAGCAGGGGCCCTGTAGAAAAAAACAAATGCTAGTTGCAATTTTTTGTCGCAAATGTTTATCAAACCAGTATTTTTAGGATAAAATACAATAGAATGACATTTAGTGCACAGAAACAGAATATAATACCCAATTATTTGGTAAAATATAAAAAGATGGGGGTCACATCACGTAAATAGATACCAAACATGGCAAGTCCTAAAAATGTGTTTGCCCGAGAACCCGCAAAAACTTCAATACCCCAAATTTCTCATAGGGGACACTTTAAAAGCTTTCACCGCTCATCAGTTTAGTGTCAACAGTGATTAATGGCTCTAGAATTATTGCTCTCACTCAGATGTTCATGGTGATATGTAACATGTGTAGCACAATTTTCATTTTTGTAGGTAGGCACCTGTTGGCGTATGCATGTGTGTGCACTTGGGAGTTATTTAAAAAAATTTGAGAAAATGCCCCAGAATTTTTTTTTGTTACTTTACATTTTTTTTATCACTTTATTTTTTACATTAACCTTATTGCTATCACATAGGGGGCTAACAAGTCCCCTATGTAATAACAGAAATGGTGTGACAGGTCCTCTTTATGGAGACATCAGGGGGGTCTTTCAGACCCCTCACTACACGCAGACTTAGACCACGTCCACTACAACCGTGGCAAACTATAGAAACCAGAAATCTAAAAAAAAAAAAAAGCCGCACTCTGGAGCGAGTGTGGCATAAAACTAGGAGGGTTATTCACTAAGGAGCCAAAGGATTAAGCCGAACCTAAGCTATGTTTTTTATTCTATTATTTTGACAGCTGTCAGAGTAAAGAAATAAAAAAAACAAAAACAATAGCATAGGAATAAATAGCTAGGCTGCTATTGGCCATTTCAAAATTGGAATAGCCAATAGTAGGCTGCCTATTGCACCCCGCCTACTGCTTCTGTCAATCAGCAGAGCTGAACCTGATGGAGAACTTCAGGTCCACCTCTGCTGACAGCAGCAGTAGGCGGGTGCAATAGCCAGCCTACTATTGGCTATTCCAATTTGAAATGGCCAATAGCAGCCTAGCTAATCATTCCTATGCCATTTGTTGTTTTTTTAATTTCCTTACTCTGACGGCAGCCTGCGGCAGCTGTCAAATTAGGAAAAAAAAAATAACATAGCAGGGGAATTAGCAGATAACAGGGAGCTAATGCTAATGCTGTGATCTGATATCACAGTGGCTCCATCAAGTTCTCAGTGTGTAACCAGGGGATGCTGAACTGTCCAGGTAACCAGGGGATGCTGAACTGTCATTACCAGGGACGTGCGGTTAGAGGAACAGGTTACACAGCAGGGAAATCCTCCCCGCTGTGTAACCTGTTACGGAGCCTCAGCGGTGAGGAGCAAGTGAGGGACAGGGAGGCTCCTCCCCGTCTCCTCCCTTCCTCCTTTACACTAGGTTGGGGAAGGGGCTTTGTCCAGCAGGGGGTGGAGCTTCCGGGGGCATGGCTTTGGCCGGAGGGGGTGGGGCTAGGGAATGCCTCACCCCGAGCAAGAGGTACCACACGTCACTGGTCATTACGATAGCTTAGCGGCGCCGGCTTTGATATCACCACCGCCTCCGTTGAGCTCTTATTGTAATGACAGCTGGTCCCGGCAAATAGAAAACAATTGGGCGGAGCCGTCACTGCTAGCTCCGCCCAATCGTTCTCTACTTTTTTCTAAAACTGTTTTTCTATTCTGCTCAGTACCATGGGAGGTTCACTCACTGCTGTTCGGCCCCTTTGAGAATAGGCCGAACAGCAGCGAGTAGCTTGCCGGAGGTTCGGCTCAGCTGATCCAGATGTTGGTTTGGCTGAGTTGAACTCCTTCTGCACTTCGGGTTGCCCGAATGTACGGCTGAAATCAGCTGTACAAGCCTCAAGTGAATAGCCAAGCGTTCGGCTCACTTCACTTTGGGTCGGTTATTCACATGGCTGCCTTCGGCAGCTTTGTGAATAACCCTCTAGGTCTCCGCAAGACTTTACCCTGTATAAAGTGGCCCTCATAAAATATAATTCCTCCCTCCGTGCTTCCAAACAGGATTTATTTTGTCACTCTCATTTACACACTCTCATCCAGACCACGTCAACTCTTTCTACTTTTACCTCTCTACTATGTCCCCCACCACCACCCACTAACTCACTCACTGCCCAGAACATCGCCATTCATTTCAAAAACAAAACAGATGCAATCCAAGATAAAATTCCCACTGTCCAGTCACCTTCCCCTATTCATGTACCAGACCCACCATTACACTTGTTACTTTCCTCTTTTGACTCTGTCAACAAAGAAGAGGTTACAAAGCTTCTCTCCGACACCCACCTCACCACTTGCCCCCTGGACCCTGTTGCCTCACCACTACTCTGGTCACCCTCTTGCTCTATCCTACACTCTTACCCACATTTTTAATCTTTCACTCTACTGGCATCCTTCCCTCCCCTCTAAAACATGCACTACCTCAGACCTATCTCTTTACTCCTTCACTTCCAAACTCCTTGAATGCCTCATCTACAACCGCCTGAGCTTCCACCTCACTGATGACAATCTCACTGATCCCTTACAGTCCGGCTTTCGCCCCCTACACTCCACTGGAACCCCCCTCCTTAAAAAAAAAAAAAAAAAAAAAATGCCCACT